AAGAAAAATTCTTCTCCGCGTGCAAAATTCTGCCTATAGTGGAAAACTGGCTTTAAATGTTGACATAAAACATGTAATACTTACAAAATTACTCCGCGCTTGTTTAATAGAGATTTGACAAATGTCAAAGAGATGTTTTGATGTGTAACAGTACCATCATTCAATATTTCCGGAGGTTGTGGGTCTAGCAATAAAGACAATATAAATCAATTATAACGCTTTCTACTGTATAGCATAGTTTTTCAAAAAAGAGGACATTGTTATTTTCTTCGCCTGGCAGGGAGAGCCAGAGGAAAGTCGGTGCACTAAGTACGTATCCCAGAATTAACAACTAGGGTTTGAGACCAAAGCGAATTTATAACTGGCTGATATGACAGTAATGTTCTTTTGTCCTTACCTATGGGTGATGTTTTCTCTACGACGGGCTCTGAGACAGTTCCTTCACCAAAAATGTTTGTTGCGGATAGAGAAATCGAGTATGCTGTCAGTTGGTTTAACTTTAGTAGACGATGTTCATAATTGCCGGTACTATTTTTGACTGTAATGTTAACAGCACGTGGACTCTTCTCTTGATCAGCGTTGTAATACAGCGTATACAAAATTACAGGTTTAGCAACCATCGTAACTGCTTTCCATTTCACTAAAATACTAGAACTGCTTATCACTTCCGAACTATGAATCACTGGCGCCTTTGGCATTCCTGTTAAGCCAGAAAATATATCCAAATTAGAAGTAAAACAAAGATTGACACACCCTGCATCGTATGAAATATACTCTAAAAGCACACGCTCTGGCCTCTGGTTATAGCCAGGATCCGGTGATTTTCGATTTTCGCCGGAATTCAGTAGTGAAAATCAGAATATATTACCCGTCCGAAACGTACTGGCCATAGAACTTCATTTCCGTAATTGAGACATTAGCTTTAGAGCCCTTTATCTTGTTACTCATTACAAAATTATAAACAGGTCTTTAATATCAATATTCACTGATATAACTACATGGCTTCGTAAATGAGATAAATCTGTAAAAAGATTAAGGGTTCTATAAACCAAACATCTCAATCACGAAAACGAGGCTCAAGAGCCCAAGACTGAAGCCTACCGATGATAAGATTCCTCCGCAGGTATCTCAAACCACAGAGATGCCTGCGGAGGAGGCTATTAACCAATGATTAAGAAATAAGTAAATGCATGCATATGTACAACGTCAATGCTGCAGCCAATACACTTACCACTGATTTTCACTGTGAATCTTGTTTTACCAGAAGTACCGTTCTTATTTCTTGCCTCACATGTGTACCTTCTATCTGTACTCCCCAGTCGTCCAATGAAACAGCCGTCACTGCAAACACTGCTGATTGTTAAGATACTTTTGATTTTTGTTGTTTGATTTATTGATTCGATTTTTACTGTGTCGGCTTTTTGATCTAAAAGAGATTCGTAATGTTTGTTTTATTGTTGTTGTTGTTGTGGTTATGAATTGTTATTGTGGTTATGTGTTGTTGTGTGATTATGTATTATCATTATTGTTGTTGTTGCCATTGTGAATCGTTACAGAACCAATCAAATTTCCTGTAACCCATTGATATATGTACTAAGCCTAAGGTGCCGGTAATGACGTTTATATACTGTTGATACAGTATTTTTGATGATGGTTTGCTGTTGTGATGATGATGATGACTAACGTGATTATCCGGTATATCGATACATTATCGACAATTTTCAGTATTTTATACCGGTTATTCGATAACCGGTGTTTTAAGAATATTGGTATATCGAAATTATCGAATTTTTCGGTAATGCAAAAAGTTGCCAACCTGTTCTAAGAGTAGATAATTTTTCATTTCGACTTGAAAAAGTTCGACAATGAAAAGAAACAAATTCCGAAAATTAATTTCATCTTGAATGAATGAATTAATGCATTTTGTTTTTCAATATAGTCTCAGTCTATAAATTATGCCGGATGAAGTGTAACTTAACAACAGAGTTAAAATACACGAGTTTTCGGTATTTTTCCAATACGAGAACATGGCACCTCGTACCTATTATTCGTCTTCCTTTTTTCCACGTGATACTTGGGAAAGGTGATCCAACTGCCGTGCAAAACATTTTGATTTGTCCACCATAGTTTACGTGCATTTCCTTCTCGCTGTTCTCAACTATCTGTGGCTGTCCATCTAAAACGTTAAGAAATTTATTACTAACCTAAATATACACGTTGAGAACATAAAGCCCGGCGCACACTAGTGCAAGTCGCACGCACACTTGATCATGTCATTAGTGACCAATTACGTGCGACAAACATAACAACATAACATAACATAACATAACATAACATAACATAACATAACATAACATAACATAACATAATTTATTATCACTCAATAGTCGTTACAGATCAAAATTAAGAAGACTACAAATTGTTACATTGGAAAAAGTGAAGGCCATCTGAAATAACCATATAGGCTAGACAAGTCAGATGACCTGTAACATTGTAAATATATATTTTAAGCATGACAAAATGTTAGAAGATAGCTTAGAATCAATAATATGGTACAGAGTATCATACTTGACTAAACAGACAATAAAGAAGTCACACAAAGACAATTTACAACAGACTACAGACAACGATGCCATAAGCCAACACTAATGAAATTTTAAAACTACTTTGGTTGCTAACAAGTTTGAATGTGTAGAATAAAATATAATAAAATACATATTTTAACTAGTACAAACATCAATTGCTCTTTGAATTTCTTTTTAAAGGAGTATTTACTTATTATACTTTAAGAAATTCATCTAAGGAATTCCAAATCTTAGGTCCACTAATAAAAGTGATGTTAAATATTCCATAGTTTGTCCGAACTAGGGGTAAACTGTAGTTAAAAGTAGATGCTAAGCGTGTTTCATGTAAATGCTTACTTTTCTTTTGTTTAATCTCTTTACCACAAATGTTAAGTTTCATTGAAAAGTTAGCTTTTCTTTAGGGTGGATGAAAAAGAACAAAATTGAATTTTTCAATATTCAAAGACTGTCACAATTTATTAGCACATAACCATTCATTCACTTTACTCAATTGATCATTTAAGTTTATTTCTAAATCCACATGTACAATTTTTAAAATCATTTATATAGAAACAATAGTGGTCCTAGAACTGATCCTTGAGGTACACCACATGTTATCATTTGTTTCTCAGAGTTTGTATTACCAATAGTAAAATACGGTCGTCTATTCTGCAGATAAGAGGAGAACAATTCATTTGGCACTCCCCTTATCCCATAGTTTTCTAGTTTCTTTAGCAGGATGTTATGGTTAACATTATCAAATGCCTTACTCATCAGATCAAGAAAAATACCACATGAGTATAACTTATTTTCAATTGCTTTTTGGATTTTATCAGTAATCAGCAAGATCGCATGAGAAGTAGAATGGTTAGCGCAAAATCCAAATTGACCTGAAAATAGTACTTGATGTTTTTCAAGAAATTTTAATAGTCTATTGTACATTAATTTCTCAAGAATTTTATTGAAAACTGAAAGCAATGGACAAAAATCCTAGTGTGCGGGGAAAATATTCAGGACTTTTGTCACTCGTATCGTGAACAACAAATATCAAACATGTTTCATAATTTCTGTCATTCATGACAAAAATTCCTAGTGTGCGGCAAACAGCTCATCGCAACTTTTCGCAGCAAAGAAGTGCGCATGCGTAATATTCGCCAATGCGTGATGAGCTGTTTGCCGCACACTAGGAATTTTTGTCATGAATGACAGAAATTATGAAACATGTTTGATATTTGTTGTTCACGATACGAGTGACAAAAGTCCTGAATATTTTCCCTGCACACTAGGATTTTTGTCGCACGTAATTGGTCACGAATGACAAGTTTGCGTGCAACTTGCACTGTGCGCTGGGCTTACACCCAAACTGCATTACCTCTGGGAGTTTAGAATTCATTGTAATCGTACGAACATGTTAGCCATGTTAAAACTGCATAAATTCATTAAATTGTACATGAAAATTAGTTCCGGCTTTGAAATTAGTCCCGTCAGTTCACTCAGTTCGATTAAAAATGGTTCAACGGACTACAGGGCAAAGAGTTTTTTTTTTATACGTTGAATTTCGGTCGCGTCGAATGCAATTCAAACAATAGATAACGAAGCGTAATGAGGTTTATCATCTCATTATCCAACATTCGACGTATAAAACTGACCTGACTTATCTAAAGTTGTAGATTAATTTGTCTATGCCTGTGGTTACAGACAGTAAAGTGATCAGGCTTTCGTTAATGATAATTCAAGCTGCCAGATTGCATACTTAATTTATCACTTCCTTGCAGCATTCATTTGAAATGAGAAACTGAGACCTATAGCCGGTCCATCAGAATTGTTGGTGCATGATAATTAAAGATAATTACAGGAGATGGCAACAGATTGTTAAAAGTTTATGTTGACTGTGTTGTAAATAACTTTATAACATCTTTAACTATATAACATCTTATATGTGGTGGCCTATTTAAAAAAAAATTATATAGTGAGAATAAGGAGAGAACGAGATTTAGAAGTGCTCACTTTTACACCACATTTTACGAAGGTGCAGGGATCCTCCTTTGGGATATTTTGAAATCTGTCTCTAAAATGCCATTTCCTCAATTGTGGGAGATGTCTATGTATTGATTTTACAAAAATGATTAAATGAGCATCTTGTAATACAAAGTTGAAACTGAAATTTCAAATTTTCACCTGAACTTTCACATTGCCCTGCGCATACGGGTTGGGGCTGCACGCAGCAGGCTAGTGAATAGTGAATGCAGCATACGCGTCATGCATGAAAAGCAAATTCCATGATATATGGATTTCACAATTTTTTTTCCAGTACACTGTAAATTTCAAGGAATTAACTCTAAAAGAGTTGTTCTGTCACCAAAAATGGTGACATGCGGAATAACACTTTTGGAGTTGATTCACCTCCTTGAAATTTACTGCGTGGTAAGGTAAAAATGACCTCATCGTAGGCGTCTGGGGAGCTCCCCCCCCCCCCCCCCCCCCGCTCCGAACCTAAGTCCGCAAATGTTGAACGTAAGTTGGGAAAAAGTGGGGAAAATAAACTGAAAAACAAGAAATATGTAAGATAATAGTAAAAAATGCAAGAAAATAGGACAATGTGGCGAAACATTTTTAGCTTTTCAAAAGTTTCCCAAGTTTAGTAGGGAATTTGATTGGTCGGGCAAAATGCAAAAGTCGGGCAAATTTCGTTTCTCCCCCCACTTAATTTTCCGCTCTCGTACGCCCATGGACCTCATCCAGCTGAGAAAAAGGCCGAGTGCAGGCAATGCAGCTTTCCTAGCCTTTTTCAGGACAAATAATCAAAAGTTGCTCAGTAGCGGTTTTGATAAAGTTATTTAACTCTGTCTTTATATGGTATATGTTTTTCCCAGTTTTGTGTCTGTTATTCCCATGAATCCCAGTAATCCAAATCCAATTTTCCCAAGTTCAAACCAATTTGTTGAAGAGGTAAACTAAGTCCAGATACTCGTAATATAATCGTAACAATCCAGTTTTTAGCGCAGAATCTATCTTTATATGATACCCCTCATCTAAGCCGATGCATATTCAATTATTAACAACAAGTTCCTTCATGGTCAGTATCAAAACAGGTAATCCAACTTTAGCGACGTCTATCGATAAATTTCAATATTTTTTTACATTGCCTGCAAAACTCAACCTTTTAGCTATGCAATGTCAATGATTCCTCTATGACTTTGTATCAATATAAAGCAAAATGACCACATATACAGGCCTGATTCCACGACGCCGACGGAGAAGTTCTTCGCGCGAAATCGTGTCTGCGAAATATGGATGGTTGCACATGAGCGACTCTATTGAATTTTCACATTTTTTCGCTTTCGCAGTCAGTAGTTCTACTCGCTGGCGAAGGGAAAATTTTTCTCGCGAAGCCTAATTTATCTTTACTGATTTCATTTCGTGCGAAATGTTTCGCATTTCGCCCAGAAAAAAGCGTTCGTGGAAAGGCCTGATTCCACGCACGCTTTCTTCGGCCAAATGCGAAAAAATTCGCGCGAATGAATTAATTCTACTGACTGCGAAAGCGGAAAAAGTGGGAAAATTCAATAGAGTCGCTCATGTGCCACCATCCATATTTCGCAGAAACAATTTCGCCGTCGTAGTGGAATCAGACCTTAACGAATATAGCCGCGAAAATTGCCTGTCGAAATCACATCTTCTCGCTAAATTTAGATTACCTTTTTTCATACACCTTGTATATTGAAGTGTAAATTCATGCTCCATGTCCATGATCATGAACTTCAGTAACGACTAATGATTTAATTAAGTATCAGTGACTATGATAAATATAGAATCCAAGAGACTATTAAAGCAGTAATGTGATTAATGAATGATGAGTTGAAATGACTGAGTATAATGTGCTGTCAAACGAATAAGCATAAACCTCAGGAATGCTTTTATATAGTTTTAAGTTTTAAGCTATTCTTTGTTACTCCCACGTAAACCTACAGCTGTCACACGAGATATTGCAAGGACTCGAGCTAGTCGGACTTGAGCTCGGACTCGAGCAAAAAATAATTAAATAACCTTTAACAATTATATTTCATTATTCAAAATTATATATACCACAAACATGCATATGAAAATAAATGAAATTATGAATATAAACTTCATTGATTTAATATTACATAGTAACTAATTTGTATCAATAATAATATATAATAATGATGACATTATAATATTGTTATGACACTATTATCACACGAAGGAGGTCGATGTTATACATAAGATACCTATTTCCGTTTTAATAATGCGTGGAATGTCAGTTTTTTATCGAGTTTATTTTTTTTTTATTATAAATAATTATATCTTACAATAATGATTAATGGAATTTTTCTATGACATTGCTCCAATTCTGAGAATATATTTCCACTATATGTAATCCTGCCATATGTAGATATCTTATGACTCACGTTATCTCCGATTTGGCGAAACTTGTTATTGCATTCAGTATATAAACCCCGACATTGAAGATTGACAGATCCCGATTTGGAAGCAGGGAGGAGTTTATATAATCGTTCTCAGAGTTATTTCTGAGACATCGTCATACTAAACTTCCTAATCAAGACACATGCAGTCTTTAAA